TTTCTCTGTAAGATAACCTATTTTCTTCTCTAATTCTTCTATCTTTTCCGGGTTAACAGAACCTAGTTCTGGGCAACTTCTATTTAATTCACACGTTTCTAGTAGTGACGAATACTCGGGCTCTTGCTCGTCCGATGACAGAGAGTCGAAAGAATTCTTCACAGGTATATTAATCCGATATTTATTTCCGATTGTTATGTTATTTGATGGTGTACGTGTTGTTCTTTCTTCATAACATTCTTTACATTTCCACTTATTTTTAGTATCAACCGTCATTAAATAAAATCTTTTATTTGAAACATTTGTACAATCCAAATGGAAATGCTCCTTACAGCTAGAACAGGTTAAGTATTGTTTGTCAGATATAACAATTTTACATTTAAAACATACATTCATTTTGCGTATTTCTGGTTTTATCTTTCAAGATTAATATAATTTGTACATATTACTTTAATGCCACTCTATAAATAAGCGTCCTCTGTTGGCCAAACGTCTGATAACGTTTGTGATAATCGAATAAACATAAGCGTAGTTTTAACATTTGCCATAAGATGGAACTATTTTTTAATTTTTTTTGTTTTTTATTTTCAATAATTATCATAATACTAAAATAAACACCCAAGTATCTTGAAGTTTGAGTTAGTATAAAAGAATAATCGTTCTTTAGTTACAGTGATTGTTCGTTTTGTCCACTAAAGAAATAATAATTAAATATTTTTTGAATAAACTATGTAACGGTCTTTTATATTTTTGAAATTATAAGCTCAATTAATGGTTACTTTCCTGCAAATTCTTATATTATCCACTTAGTTTTTTGATAAAAAACAGTTTTCGTTCACTTTATCACACATTTTGATATTTCTTTTGTTATTAAACACTTCAACGTTAGTTCCATACAAAATTTAAATTAACAATGTTCACACTTAACACTTCAACTGGATAAAGTTTGTAGTCTTTAGTTACATGATTATGAACTCACTTATCTAAGAAATAACAAAAATTGTTTACATTTAATATTTTTTAAAACTTATAATTTACGGAGCCTATGTTGACGTGACAAGTGCAAGTACCCGCCTTAATTACTATATTAAATTGTAACTTTAATGACTATATTAAATTGTAATATAGTCATTAAATATTATATATAAATATTTAATGTAGTCATTAAATTGTGTAAATATTATTAAAGAAAATATATTTGAGTGAAGCTGGACCATTAACAGTTTAAGTTCCTGAGTGTGTGAGAAACAAATGAGTAATAGTTTATGTAACGGTGAGTATATGAATGTGCTATGTGTATATTTTTGTAGGTGCAAGTGTACAACATGTATGAGTAAGTGCAGGTGTGTTATGTGAAAGTGATGGACATCTTTGTTGAAAGTTGTCTAGAGTTTCAGTATTTACAAGTTGCAAAGCGAATATAGTTATGTGAAACATAAACTAACCCCTCATAGTAACAGAGTTAAGACAGAATTTTTTTTTAGATGCAGTAACAATAATAGCAATAGCCAAGGGAAAGCATGATCAATATTAAATATACGAATAGTCAGACTTGCTCTAAAAGTAACGTGTGTACCTGTCGTTCCGATTTGATCTGCACGATAGGGAACTGCTCGGTTTTCCGCACATAAATCCTGCCATAGTATGTCCACACTTACCCTTTAGATTTAGCCAGATCACGAGCCAGGTAGTAGAGACGGGAAGCCTTTTGAGTTAAATTCTCCTAAAAGAAAATCGATGTGTCGGCGTGCGACTTTAGACCTGAGTGCTTTGCATATAGTTTGGTTTTGTTTTTTATATTAAAGGATTTAGCCATTTTCAGGATATCAGTCTTGAGCAAAACAGAGCCGGTTTCTATTACAATGGGGGTGCTCTTTTGATTAGGCTTTTTACTCCTTACTCTGTATATGTCTTTGATGTCAGTTGTTGTTAATTTTACAGTCAATGGTCACAGAAAGCGTGACAACCATTTAAGGACTTGTTTTGTTTCAGTCTCCTTTCTGGGCACAACCTTTATTTCAAAATTAGACTTACGTGACGCTAGCTGTAGATCATCCAGTTTATTCTCTAGGAATATTATATATTCCCTATCTTGTCCTGTTCGTTCGTCCAGGATGTTTATTTTTTGTTTCAGCTCCTTGTTTTGCGAAGTTACAAATGTAAGGGAATCCTCAAGATTTTTGATTGTGTCTTGACTTTCTTTCATAGTTAAGTTGTGTTGCTTCATCTCTTCCTTATGCGAACTTACTAAAGTAGTTACAAGTTGTCTCATCTCCATCTTAAAGTCTTCATATTGTTGAGGTAATGCCTGGACAGGTCTGCGCAGGCGATCAGACACATCGTTCAAGGGCGATTCATTTTCATCTGTCAGGCATATTGACATCTCTGGGTCCGACAGTGCTCTATTCAGTGTTGAATCCATCATCGACACGTGCGCCAAAGCAAAGCAAAGTACCAGGAGAGCAGAAAGTGAGTGGAGTGCGCAAGCGGGGGGGGGATCTAGTCGCAGGTTAGTTAACAGGTAGTATGTGCAAGCAACGAGGCGTGGATTAGCGCAGCGACACCGTGGGCGGAGCCGAAAAAGGGCGTAGCTTAGTAACCTTCTCAATATACTGTCACAGCAAAGATGTTTAATGAGGGATTTTGATAACTCCTGTTCACTTATGCACTCCTTTTATTGCGTTCTGATTTAAATTACTAAATTTTATATTTTAATTTGGAAAATAAACTGGCACAGATAATAGTAACGTCCACACCTTACGGCGGTCCAGGGGGAAAAGGACTAATTATTCACATTTCTTAACAATTTTAATCTATGGACCTATATCCAACTGCTAATCGTTACATTATATTAATATTAATAAATAGTAATAATTTATATGAAGTGTGTGTATTATTCAGCTGTTGAATTATTTAATATTAAATTTATTTTGTTTTCAAAAGATTTACACACATAATTACAATTGGCCAATAATGCGTATTCACAAAGCGCTGTGTTAGAAACCTTTAACAGTTACAGCAAAAAAGATTTTGCCAAGCAGATTAAAATATTTTACCAAATTTTATAGATTTGATCTTTGTCTTAAAATGTTTTTGACCACTATCAGTAAGCATATATATATATATATATATAATCATAGCTATAATACTATGGAGTGTAGAGGTAAGGAGTACAGAATCTTTATAAAAAAAGTGTAGGAAAGCGTTAAATAAGGGTAGCGCCTCTGTAGATACAGTCTAACTTTTGAGGAACTTTTTATAATTTTTTTATTTCACAGACTTTCTTCATAATTCTTTTTACAATAATTATTTTATTGCTTTCAAAAATTTTTACTTACAAAATCACTCTCAACGTATTTTACGGCGATTTGTCATACCTTGTAGCTACTCGAGCGCTGTTGCGGAAAGTTTTTGAACTGTTATTTACTGCTTACAGATGGACACATTTTCAACTATTCTCTTATGGGAGAGTGTCCTCCTTACCTCTATTCTCCATGTATAAAACAAAGGCAAGATCTTACATTTTTTAAAAGAATAATTAGATACAATTAAATTTAATCAATAATATTGTTATTCCTTTTCTTAATTACTTCTTAAAAGTCCACACACTAATATATATTTTTTTTACATTTAACCTCTTTGACTCTGCTGCCTGTCAATTGTTTGGGTATTTTATTCCTAGTGTGAATGTTTACACAACTATCTATCAAAAGCCATAAGATTTTTTTAGTATTTCTTAAGTAATGGACAAACTTTCGCCGACTCCACGCGGTGATATTATTCATCAAGTATTTTACGTATGAAGTACTACTGCTACTCCTAACATCAAACAAAAATCAAACTGATGCATAAAACGTTATCTCTTATCACGACATTTAATTCCCGCACTTTTAGCTAATATGTCCATATCACGATTTTACTGAACCTTCCATTTTCTTTTCTGTTTCTCGTATTTAAATTAGTTGTATAATATGTGTAACCGTGATTTTCACAAAAAAAAAACATATTTTAAACACTGTTTTGTGACAATTTATCAAAAAGCGTTTGCAAAGTCAAAGAACATTTTGTAGTGAAATATGTTTGACAGTTTATTGTACATTACATATTTTAACTATATTATATCATAATAACTACAGAAACAAAATGTTTGAAAGCAAATTTGTCAAAATATTGTCATGTTGAAAGATAAGTTTGAATATCTGTTGAAAATTTTACACAGTTTTTGTAAGTGCGAACGCCACCAGCAACAAAACATATTGGGTGCGTTTGGCAGAAAAAAGCGCTAGCAAGCGCTTGTAAGCAAAATGGCGGTCGTAAGCGGTAAGCGCTGTCAAATCGTAAGTAGCTATTTTCCTCCAGGACACGATGTTAGTTTTAACCGGGGAATCTAACCTAATTTAAATATATGTTTGTAAAGTATTCATATTAAAAACTTACCAATCATGAATTTTTAATAACATGTATATGTCTATTCATGTCATTATATTACTTAAAACTAATATTGCACAAAACAACTTATAAACTCTACTTCAAAACAAACAAATTAAATAAGCAAAATGGCGGATTGTGTCAGCGCTACTGAAGTAGCAATCATGTCCTGGCCGAAAACTATTTTAGCGCTTGTAAGCGCTTGCTAACGCTTTTTTCTGCCAAATGCACCCATTGTTTGATTTTGACAAAACATTTTATGCGATTTGTTTCAAAACATTACGTGTTGAATGTTTCTCAGTGCAAACGTACTGTAAGCTGCGGCTAAATGCTATATAGCGGTTAAAATAATAACCATCAATAAGTATTAGCTCATATTTGTACAATGTTTTTGATTTCTGAACGCCATTTTAGTTACGTTAGAAAATGGCGGTGCATCGATTGCAAAGCGTCGGCTTTATCCAAAGGCTTTATCGTTCTCTAGTTTGTATATTTTAATAGTGATAAATTAAAATTAGTGTAAATGATATAATAAAATAAATTACATTATGGAGACTACTGTGAATAGCGGTATGTGCCGGTGTTGTGCGTCTGAAGGTCTGTTTAAGGACGTGAATACCACGTATCATTGGATGGGAGAGGATGAGGTCTATGCAGATATGTTACACTTTTGTTTTGATATAACCGTAAGTATAGTGGTTAACCATTCAATTTGTGAAAAAATTGAGGCAAAAATATTTCATCAAAAATCGGTATTATTTTCAATAAATTCGAAGATAAGTAAGTAGGTACGAACTGAGGACGGATTTGGTAATTGGATTCTGGAATTTATGTTCGCTTTTGATATCAATAAAATTTACAGTGTTAGTTGTTGCAAAGGACGTACGTACGGTGATTATTTGCGACATACCTAATTGTTCAATGTTTTTATGTATAAATAATGAAATGTTTGCTTGTTTAAGCTTGAACCTATTACACTAATTTAGTATATAAGAGAAACGGATTATGAATTAATTACTATAAATTTCATATAACTAAATGCAATTACAATGGACCCCCAGTAATGTGACAAAGATTTTGCAGGGCAGTGTCGGACTATCGAATTTGTCAGATTATAGAGTACTGCCTAAGACCCCTATAGTCCAGAAATGTTTAGAAAAGTACCTTGTAATCTAACAAATTACAGATCCAATGATGAGATTCTATATGTTATACATATAACTACTCTGAACTACAAATCATACATCATTATGTATGTCAAATTTAGTAAATTAAATAACACAATAGAGAGCTTACCTTTTTTTATGAAATTAACATTAAAGCTTCTATAGCGTTTACTTACAAAAAATATGCAATAACTTCACATTAGGAAATAATTGTGTACAAACAAATGTACATAATAATTTCTTATATTTACGCAAACACTTCATTTTGATTAAAACTACTTTAACGGATTTTATGTATCGTAAAATCCACACACAATTATTTCCTAATGTAAAGTTATTGCATATTTTTTGTAAGTAAACGCTATAACACTCACGCCTGTCACCCAGAGGGGTAGGCAGAGACTACGGACTTCCATTTGGCACGATCCTGACATACCTCTTTCGCCTCCTTTACATCCATATATCTACGCATACATGCTCGTTGGTTAAGGGTACTTCAACCCATTTTCAAAATATCACCATTTTTAAACTAGCCCCCCTCTCATCCAATAAATTGCTTTGTCACTCTTTCCTCATTCATTCTTTCTACATGACCAAACTACCGAAGCATTCCTTTCTTAATCCTGGTCACAACATCATCTTGCATACCAAATTTATCTCACATTTATCTTTTAACGGATTTTATAGTGTTTAATTTATTTTATTTTTTATACTCAATGTTTTGAGTGCTTTCCAGCACCCATGGTCATGGGTCATGTACTCCGTAACCATGGGTGCTGGAAAGCAGCCGAAACGTTGGGTATTAAAAATAATATAAATTAAAAAACAATACATTTAAAATTTTGCACTTAAATTTAGTTATGTAAACATGTGTTATTCCCTATTAGCGGATGCCTGGCATGTGCCACTATGCTAAAAAAAGAAATACATTTTGTTTATTTCTTGGATAGTGCCCTAATGCATAGTTTTAGTGGTCTAAAACCATCTTTGCATAACATAATTATTAGAATGCCTGCAGCAAATACTCGCTATTATTCGATATTCAGCATTACTCAACATTTTTTTTATTCGTCAAATACTGAATTATAAGGCAGTATTATTCGACATTCAGCTAATAGTTTAGTTTACGACAGGCTGTTTTCCGCAACTCCATGTCTAAGCGCGTATTTTGCGTGTGGGCAGTGGATAGTTAACTAAGATAAACTTTTAATGAACAAAAGAACTATAGACTTAAAAATAATTCAACTTAATTTTTTCTTTTATTATGTAATATAAGAAAAAGATTCTTAGGTAATATATTGAGTTCCAGTGAGTTTGAATATCTTGAATCAGAGTTCAGATTGAATACTTTCGAGTTTTGTATATCCCGAGTAATTTAAATTTGTCACAATGCGGCGGGCACTAGTCAGAATTTCTGTTATTCGGGGACAGTTTCTTAATGCAACATTTATCACCAGCTGGAGAGTATATATGACACAACGCTCTGAAGGAAGTGAAAAACAAATTCCGCCCCACCTAAATACAAGTGAAATTGCTTAGGGAGGAAATCCCCTACATTATTAAATGTTGGGTTATACAAAATGAGGTATTCCCCACTAAATAGGAAGAAGAAAAGTGTTTCCAGTATTTAAAAATGTAAAATCAGTATAATATGAGACTAATTCCTTTAACTTCATTCTTTTATTATGTCATACTTAAGTAAGATCACGACTAATACACAAGCGTGATATTATTATTTTATTATAAATAAATAATTTTTATATATTTTTTATTTCGAATAATAATGGTGAGTTATTTGATTATTCGCCATTGGGAATGGTGATTAATTGGTATTTGACTATTTGCTATAACAACTATTCACCGCAACTCTAATAGTTATTTAATTTTTTATTTATTTATTCATATAACACCAGCGATGCCTACATTATTAAATTTTTATTGAAAGTATGCTTAATCTAGGGACTGATGTGTGCACCCTTATAGGTGATATAGCATTTCAAAATACTAAAAAAATTAAGACAGATCTAAGTTAGAATAGAAATATTATGTCACAAAAAATAATACCTAAAGATTATATAAATAAAAACATGCATATAAACAAGCGGCAGCTGTAGGATACATGGATATTAAATTATAATTAAATCATTTGTAATATCTAGTATCATGAGAAATATCGACAGTAGAAAACACACCACAGAGTGTATTATAGGTGTCACACATTTGCGGTACTGGGGCATATGATCCCATGTTAGTCCTGGATTAAGAATTGTTTAAAAGGTTTGTTATTGGATGATGAGGGATATTATATGGTTCATTTAGCGAGAAATATTGTAGTAGTTCACAGCAGACAGTATTTCTGTTTACTATTTTATATAATACCAGAAGTTTTATTATTTTTTATAGAATAAGGGTGACATATGAGCACACAGTCCAATTGATAGTAAGTAGATGCTGTGGCCTGTAGACATCTGCGTTTATCCTCGATTAAGAATCTAAATGCAGATGCGCTATCACCCCCTGAGGACTAAGATGGAATGCCTTTGAATTGTGAATTTTTCTCCTGCTCTTCAGAGAATGTATTTCAAAATATGACAATCACTGTTCAAAAAAAAAATACCTCTGTGAAATTCCACTACATATGAAGGCAAGATGCCTTCTAAAGACTTTCTGAATACCTTCCTATTCTTTGTAAGTACATTGCATATTTTGGGTTCCATATTTTACTCACATATTGACCATTAAGAATCAATAGTGTCTATTTCAATAAAGTTAACTTTACAGAAGGTAAAAAGTCATTTTTCTGCTTTGAATAGAAAGATACTTGAAATGTCTGTCTATAAAAATAGAAAAAATATGCTGAAATACGATAGGTATACTAGAATTAGTCTAGAATTGAGGCGTATAGAATCAAAGGCAGCTATATCCACCTCGGTATTTTTTTTCATAAAACAGAAAAAACGTTTTATTTTATTTTTACTGTGGCATCACGATGAAAAAAAAAACGAAAAAAAGTATTTGGAATGGTGGTACCACTGAACACACACACATCAGTCAATCCAATGATAAAATTACTTTTTAGCGGTAATTTTAAAATCACTTAGCTGCATTTGATACCAACCAAAGGATTTAGCTGTTTTTGATTCTGATTGTATTGGATATAGCTGTTTTTGTTTGCAATTTTTTGGTGATGACGTCACAAGACTAGTGATGTATATTTTAACTTTTTCTAAAAATTTTGTCATATCGTAGCTATAGTCAACGTTAAAAAGATATGTGTATAAAGTATGTAAATTCAAATGTATAACATAACCAGAATACATGCATTTTGAAGTGTTTTGAAGACCTACATGTAAATAAAATAATATTTATGAAAAAGTATTATTTTTATAATTAAATCTTAATTATTTAAATTGTTATACTCTCAAATTATCTTCTTCTTGAACCTCACAAAAATCTCGTACAGTATCGTTTTCTTCTTCAACTCCTCTTTCTTCTAATAGCCGAAGCTCATCTTCGTCTAGAGTATTCAACACGGCTTGGAAATATCTTAAATGTGCAAGATCTTCCCAAGAGTCACCATAGTGTTTTTGAAGAAGGTTTTTGACATCTCGATACTTTAGTGGATTCACTTATATGCCAGAAGGAATTATTGTTGGTCGTATAGCTTCAGCTTTTTTGCCTGCTTTACACAAACTTTTGGGGTGTCCCATGTCAGAATTGTAATACAATTCACCACGTACCAACACACTTCCTTGAGTTTTGGATCTTCAAATAATAAATCTTTTACACTGAGAAATTTTGAACTGAATTTGAGCCGGTGTTTTTACGATACTGTGAATAGAAGTTTTCCAGTCAAGCACGGGTATATCTCGTAGTTTCGTAACTGTAGAGTGTTGACTGATTACATCGACGTACTCTTCTGGAGAAGTGATGACCTCCATTTTTCGGATACTTTTTTCAATATTGCCGAAAACTCGATCAGGCGGCATGAAAGAAAGGCCTGTCACGGGAAACACTAGTTCCATTTGCTTTATTTGTCGATTTTCCAAAATCCAACGCATGCACATGGAAATCATAATTAAATTTTTGTTTTGGCCTGCGCATCCATCTGCCACTAAACGGACGTGGGTTACATGAGTCAGGTCAGTTTTGTTGAGCCTATCGTATACAGCGGAAGCTATTTGGTTTGAACCTTTAGCGTATTCATTTTCTGTCCAGATGTATGCAAATGTGGTGTTTTCATTCAAGGGATCTTTCGATGAACCCTGGACTACTGTAAAATTATACAGATACAGCTGTCTGCTGTAGTAACAACTCTGGTCGGGTACTTTTGGAAGTACCAAATTCTTTTGGCAATCGAATGAGAACGTAATCATTTGCTCTTTTTTATCTTTGAGTAATTTAAAAAATGCTTGTGCTCTTAGTTTGTGTATCCTTTTCTCTGTCATCAGTCGGCTTTTCTTCGATGGATCATTTTCGTTTTTCAGTTTTTCTTGCAGTTCAATGCATTTCGAGCATACATCCGTCCTTGGACTCCCAAAACCAAGATAAAAGTCCTCATTAAAGATAGATCTAAAGTAAGATGGTTTGACTGGGCTGTTTGGGTGCACTTGTTTAAAAAGTTTAAATAATTTTTTAACATTGAGTTCATTAGGTAGGTATTTACGTTGCTGCGATAATCCTCTGCAATAATGTGCTTCAACGCATTTTAAAGACTTTAAAAAGCCATGAACTGATTGTCTTTGTGCTGCATACTTCTGTTTCTTGTGGTCACCGCCTCTTTTTTCTGTAGGAATCCGACCAGACTTAAAGAAGTTTTGCATGACGAACTGAACACGATACTTCGTTATCTTTAGTGTATTTAAAAATACTTTCTGGCAAACTGGAATTGCCTTCTTAAGTGACTTTGCGTAAATTGTGTATTTAATCGCAAAATCTCTACTTTTTCTAGTGTTTTTTACGGGCCGCTTTCTGACTGTTTTCTTCACTGAACAGCACTTTAATATTAACGCATCTTGATGATGTTTGATGGGTTTTGAGTAAAACGATCTGTGAAAATGCACGAGATCTAGTATTTTTAATTGTTTACACGCAAATGATTTAGTGTTATGATTGCAGGTTATGTTTTCTGGCAAAGATTTCGCCGAGTACCTGTGAAACAAGTAAACGTGACCATTACTGTTATAGCCTATTTATTTTCATTTTTTGCATTATAATGTACCTAATTTAAAATACATAAAACAGAATAGGAAAATTTACACTGAACAACAAAAACATCGATCGATCGATCGAACTCCATCGGGTTAAGTACATCACTAGTCTAGGCTCACCTGTCAGTTTTCGCTTTGTTCGCCTTCCATTTCTCCGGCTGTCTTTTACGCTTTTTTCCTTTCCCTGGCAATGCTTCTGCTACAGGCACTTCCATTGCACTTTTTATTTGTCGTTCCACTCGTTTTTAATAAGAAATAGATGCGAAATCCTATTTAATTTCGATAAAAATCACACCCACGCAACCACTGTTTTGTATGAGATCCGCCATCTTGTTATTTCGACAATGTAGACCTGTGATTGGCCAGCCGCAATTTTAGCTGTGTTTGTTTCCAAACTGTGTGGATTTAGCTACCTTTGGTTATGAACCGTTTCTTTAACGTGAATTTTGGCTGGGATTTAGCTGATTTAGATGCTAAACAATTTTGTAAATTTATTCAAAATAGTATGAAGATTAAGATGGCATTCACAGTTTAAAAACGACTTGTTCTGGATATAGCTGCCTTTGATTCTATACCCCTCAATTGGCCTATTTACAGTTTATGTGAGTTAGGTGGTATTGGTTTTATTATAGTAAATATTTTTTAAGTAAGTAGTAAGTAGATAGCGATTTTTGAAATAAAACAACACAGTGGAAAAGCACATTCTTTAATAATTGCCACAATGGAACAGGAAATTAATCTCCAAAATAACTAAAAAAACTCTAAAGTAACTGAATAAGACCTCAAAATCAATAAAAAATACTTCTAAGTAATTAAAAAAGTCTTCAAAGTATAAGTATAAATAAAAATACCTGGTCTACAAATGGAGCAGTGTATCATAAAAATTATCACATTCACTAGGTAGTACTTCGTGCGTAAGTTGCTAGTATTCGCTCTATGTACAACGAAAGCGTTTATGCCTGTTACATTTATAAGATGGAAGAAAATGGCTAGTGGCCATCGTTTAGTTCGCCTTCCTACGCTGTAATTACCACACAACTGATCATTAGCGTCCACTCCTCCTTTGGTGCTATTATAATATGTTATTATTTCAGGCTTTTGCTCATCTCCTGATGTTGGGTCGATATCAGCTGTGTGATGCGTGGAAGACAACAACACAACTGCTTTATTTGTTTTCGGCACGTAAGAAACCATGGACATTGATTTTTGAAAACCGAAAAGGAAGCTGAATTGAGTTCTTGTTTTGTTTGGCAGAAAATCTTTAGGAATGTCAGGTTTATTTTTCTTAAGAGTTCCAACTAGGGTGAGCTTGTAAGGTGGATCCAACAATTCATTTGCAAGTTTCACGCTTGTGTACCAATTGTCAGTGATAATATTACGGCAGCTTCCCTTTATTGGCACTACAAAACGTTTTACTATGTCATTAGGACTGTTTGAGACTTGGTAAGGACCCGCAGGTTGTTTTCCAGAATAAACTTCAAAAGCTAACAAATAATAAGTTTTTGAATCTACTAATGCCTGGTTTTTTATGCCGTATTTATTTGGTTTGCTTGGCATGTAAACTTTGTCTTTGAAACGGCCACAGAATCCAATCAATTGCTCATCTATTGTCACATTTTCGCTCGGCGAATAGGCTTCTTGAAATTTTGCTTGCAACATATCGCATATCTGACGTATAGGTGCTAAGTTATCAAATTGTAGTCGTTCAGCTCTTGTTGTGCTATTGTCAAACCTTAGACATCGTAGTAAAAATAAAAACGTTGATAATTCATTGTCAGGCGAAACATCTCTATACCAGTTCCGTTGGTGGCCCAGAGATCTAAGAAATTGAGATGAGAGGCTCTCAATAGTCCAGACATAATCAACAAACCTAGAAAACCTTTTATTTCTTCAATATCAGTGTCTTTTGCATCACATTCTCTTTGAAACTTATCTCTGACTTCTCCGATATATTGATTTGTACTTGTTACAATCATATTCAAAATTTCATCTGAAAAAAACAAACTGAAACATTCCAAAGGAGTCTTTGCTGATTTTGCTGCTGACTTGACACCTGGTAAGTGTAAAATTATATTATGGCCTCATGTTTTTACAGCACTTGATGGTGGAGATTTCGACAATTTTTGTTTGGGCCCATTTCTGCCATTATGTCTCGTAAAATAAAAATTATTATACTGCCCTTCAGGGACGCCTTCTTCATTATCTGACGATTCACTTGAATGTGCCGAAGATTCCTCAAATTCACTAGCACTGTCGTGATCACTTTGTATTATTTCATCCTCCTCCAACTCAGAATCTGACTCTCCAACTTGTTCTTCGTCAGTAGACTCTGCCAACCATTGCTCAATTTGCTTTGTTCTACTATCCATGACTTAGTCTAAAAAAAAAGAAAAAACACCTAACATAGAATTTTTGTAAAATTTAATTTCATAAACCTGAAAAGACCTTTTTATACATAAAATCAATAAATACGACTCATAACAATATAAATTGAATTAATATTACACGAAAAAATACATAAAATAAAAAACTCACCTCTTTCAAAAAAGTAACGCAATTACTCGCATGGGGTCACCGTTCAAGAGCGCATCGACACGTCCTCACACTCCCGTGACTTGATCGCTACTAGAATACAAACCAGCGTGACCAGATTTCATATGACGAATCTACTGCTTGTGGAGGTTAAAATCTACTGAATTCTACCAAAACAGAACGAGAAAATACTAAAAATCTATTTATTTTTTGCTGTCGTGTTACAACGTAAAAACATGAATTTTTTTTAGATTAAACGATAAAATAATAAAATAACAAAGAAACAACCATTAATTAAAGAAACTAATGTTTTTTTAAACTTAAATTCTAAATAAAAATATAATTTAAAAAAAAAAGAATAAAATGAAACTTAAAGTTAAGATTCTTCATCATTTTTTTGTTGGGTTACATTGTCATAAAGCTGTTTTGAGTCCATTAACTTGATCATACTTCTGTCAGGATTAAATCTGCTACATCCTCCTTCCAACTGTCGTAGCCCCTCTTTTCCATGCATTATTGCTGCAACATTCTTATTATTAAATCGATTTCGATCTTGATTTTTAATCCTATTAATATCGGAAAATATTCTTTCTACTTTGGCGTTTGACAAAGGTAGTATCGTCATTTGCTTCACAAATCGGGACAAATTGCCATACTTTGGTTTGCTATTCGCATCACAGATTTGGCTGACTTCGCTCCAAAATTTATCCACCATAAAAGTTTCAGATGTCGAACTAGAAGTTGACAATAAATTAGACACGGAAACATCTAATTTTAATTCCCTATATTCATTGTCAACAATTTGCATGTTTTCGGTTGCAACTATGTTAGGAAACCTTTTGAGTATTCCTATCAGAGTTCGAAATTCACCATACACCGCTTTTTGAGGATCGATGAATGACAAATCCTGCAAAAAATTATCTTGTACAGGCAGTCTTTGCAGAAATTGGTTACTCAGCTCGATCAAAAATGACTGACATCTGTTAAGGAATTCCTCAATTTTAGATCTCATTCGGACATCATCTTTTAATGATTCCAATGTCATTGCTACGTTTGTGCCCAGGTACATGTTTTGTATAGGAAGGAAATGCATTCTTGAACTTGGATCTATTGACTGAAGTGGAGTAGTTTTTTATATAATTTATCTTCATAAAACATCTCAAAACTGAACTAATCATGTTTTGTATGTCTGTTTCAATTTTATGAATAAGTGTCTGATCACTTTGAAAAATAACGTTAAATTTTGTAGTTATGGGTTATATAAAATCTAAAAAGTAAAGATAAAGTTTTGTCTCATCGCTGTTAAGGTGATCAAATATAAATTGACAAGTACCATTGGCATCCTTATTCCCTAAAAACTCATTTTTAAAAAAAAGTTTTAATGCTGACCACTGCTCTATAATTCGGTGTATGCATTGATGTAGAGAAAGCCACCTGATATCATAATGACGAAGCATATGGTGAGTTGGAGTGTCAGTAAAATTTTGAAATTCCACAAAGTCTCTTTGTCGTTGGCTACTGTGAGAGAAGTATGAAAAAACATCTTTGACAAACAACTCTATAGAACGAGGTAATTTTTTGCATGCATAACTCACTGAAAGCTTTGTTGAGTGGCAAATACATTTGAAAAAAATGCAGTTTGGGTTGACTTCCCTAATTTTAGATACCACGCTACTCCTTTCGCCGAAAATTACATTCGTGGTATCAGCAGCGAACCCTATTAAATTGGCTATAATAAGGTTTTTTTCAGATAAGGCACATGTTAAACTATCAAACAAATCTTGCGCAGTATCACCTTTTAAGTCCACCATACACAAAAATTTTGTTTGTGGAGATTGCAATTTTTCAGAGTAGTACTTTACTGCTACTGCAAGTACCTTGGTAGTACTGACATCTGTGCTCTCGTCGATAATGAGCGAAAATACTGGGCTTCTCTCAGTTTCATTTTCTGGTCTTGGGCGTAATTCTGCAAGCATTTTTTCCTCGAAGTTATTGCCTAAGACGTTGTAGGCAATTGCGGCAGATTTAGTTCTTCTACAGGAAAAACGTTTTGCGATTTCGGAGTCGTGAAATGCCCTTGAAATAACTTCGCTTACGTGATCCATTACGCGAAAAGGAATATTATGTTCAACTAAGGCAGCTACAATGCTGATTTCTGCTTTTTTTACTTCTTCCGAAATGGTTGATGTTTTGAAAATCGTATCAATCTGTAACCAAAGAAGTTAAAAATAATTATACAGGACATTTCATATAGCGCTATGTAGTATCAAATACTAAGCAATTTTTACATAGCATTTATCATGAATAAACACACACATAGTTGTATAGTAATTGTTATGTAAATGCGTAGGTAATAAACGTACATAAAACAGCGAATGTTTGAATTTTGAATGAAAATAAAATTCATGAACTTTAAAACATAATACGGGTTCACACTACTGCGTAAGTTGAAAGTATTAAAAAAAAATCTTAACAAGAATAATTAACTAAGAATTACATTCCACATATTAACGTAAGTAACTTGCATACCTGAGAAATGCCGGAATATCCTTTCATATTTTTATATGCTTTGATGTGGCCATGTGTTCTTTCAAAGACGCCACTCTACTTAGTACTTCACAGTTGCATGCTTTACAATGAGCACTCGTAGTGTTTACCTTAGATTTACATAACCAACTTTTAAATGAGGGATCTTGCTCCCATTCATCGCAATATCCTTGTGTATATTTACGTTTCATTTTAAATTCGATTATAAAAAATCTCAATAAAGGAATTCCCACTAGTCTATCCACATTCCATGCTCAGAAAACGACTAATAAAATTGTGTTGTCTAGTCTATCATTATAGAAGCAACTTTAAAATGATCTAAGTTGAAAGACCTATTTTACAAAAATAGCCTTTATCTATTGGAAAATGAAATTCAATTTGCTATGCCCACAGTACCGTTCATTCAATAATAAGGGAATCCCCCCAAATCACTTTCGTGTGCTGCCAACTGTAAAATTAAAACTTTTTGGACGTGGATGCTTGGTTTTAAGCCTAATATTTTTGACAGAGAATTAATACCAAAACCTACCGATGTGTTTCTCATTTCTACTAAATTCTACTAAGACATTTTATCCTACTAGATTATCATCTTATTTGCTTCAAATCTACTAAAAAAGTAGAAATCTACTAAAAATGGTCACGCTGATACAAACTTCGGCGCGAGTTACGAAGTTAGCGAGGGCGGGGGGAACATCAGACCACGGCAGGTATTACTTTCTAGAACATGAAAATGCGATGACCCCATGCGAGTAACTAAGGGTTAAGAGAAAAAACAATTTAATCAACTTCTACAAATTTTTCTTCTATGTCGTAAATAAAATGAAATAAATTCTTCTATTATTATTCATATGCATAAAGTTAACATTTTAAAATTACAATTAAATCGACTTTACCAAAAAATTTACTTTCAAAATTAAGAAATAAAATGTTTGACTTCAATATACCTTTGTACTTATGAATAAAAGGTAAGAAATATTTAACAATTGTCATTCATATTTAACAAATGTAATTCACAATCTGATAGTGTTTTCGTCATCCTACATGACGAAAACACTATCAGATTCTACACTTGTTGGAGGAATTGCTAACAAAAAATTAAATGCCCTCATTAAGGCCCCAGTCTTGTAAAAATTAGTGTTCTCGCAAAACTTACAGCAAAACAAATATTCTTTTATAGTATTTATAAAAAAAAAGTGAAACATATTTTATATTTATTGAAAGTGTAGGATTTGATATTTTCGAAAAGGTTTTTAATTTTATTTTGGTGTTTAAATTTAAAAGGTTACATGCGTAAAAGGTCTTGTTAAAGCCTCTGAAAATACACAAACAAATCTGATCTGGTCACTTTTTTATAAATGTTTTAATTTTCTTATTTGAAAGTCAAAGTTGTAATTTCATGATTTTTTCAACTGCAAATATCTATTTTTTTCTCTTAGAAGTATAAATGTAGCAAAGTCGTACTTAAAACCACATAAAATAGAATTATTTTCGAGTGAATTAGAAATAAATAAAATTAAAAAAATATATATTTTCGTACTTTTTACCTATATTCCATTTATAAACCAGAAACGCCTTTTTAATTAAACGCCCGAAAATTCTCTCAGTTCCGCTTGGATTTCTCGGCGTTCAGACGTGTGCAGTGTTGCTCTATGTTACTTTATCTCTCGCTCGCACGGTTGATTTCTTTCCCTCGCGCAGCTCTTATGGACTGAGCGGAGCATATTGTGAAAGTTGATCTATTTAAAGATATATTATTTTTATTTAATTCTCATATTAGTTCTAGTTTTTAGTGTATTAGTGTTTATATTAGTATTAGATAAATTGACTTGGACTTTTATATTCGGAGAATTTCAATATATTGCCAAAAAAAAAACGGAAAAGGATGGGTAGAAAAAAGAAGAAATATCCTTGTGTCAGTAAAAATAGTAGTAAAGTACAAAATGTACAAGGTAGAGGCGAAATTTGTATGAAGAGGCAGTTTTTATTTTCCTTCGGTTGTATATACCCTTTTTAAACCTACACCCTGTATAAAAATTACTAAAAACGACATTTATAAAATATAAAAGGGTAAAAAATTATTCTACCACGACAAAAGTAAAAGAAATATTTTTGTAAAAAAAATTTATAACTTATGTATTTTATGAAGTAGAGCAACCTTCACGTGCGATCTCGAACGTATTTATGAATGGGGGAGAGCGCCCCCTCTAATGGCTGGGAATGTAAAACAGCAACGCTATATGGAAGCCTTAAGGTGAAAGCGCCAGGGTATAGTACGGACGCGAAGCAGGAA